TWWTTYCMWWAAAWTWAAAAAACCTCGATATTTCCGTGAACATCACATCTAAAACCTTAAAATTTGTAATGGTATAAATATTGTTCTTTAAAACTATGTTAATTTGTTAAGTTATTTTAATTATTGTTTTATAGACTTTATATTCCATTATTAAAAAAAATAACGACTTTATATTCAGAAGTGTGACTCATTGAACTCGTTCAATTCTTTGAATCTATGGGATGCCTCTTTAGTCTCATGTGGAACATATTTGATAGCTTTCCCATTCAAAACTTTTTTCTCTCTGGTTTAATATTCAAGTTTATACTATGAATTTGACCTCAAAATAAATAATAATAACAATAGTAATATATACTATAAATTTAAGTAATTTTATTTTCTCCCTATCATTTGGTTTTTCTTTCACAAGTATATCCATTCATAATTGTTCTACAATAACATGAACGGATGTTGCCAACTGGACCATACCTCAACTGGTTAGACACCTATCTCTAATAAAAATGTTGTGGGTTCTAATCTTCACCCCACATGTGGTATTTGGGGCTTGTTTGGGAATAATTTTAGAATGAGTGATTTTAGCAAAAATATTTAACGATAATTGATTTTGTGAAAGTTAATTTTATATAATTATTAAACATTTGATTAGACATGTTTTCAAGTGATTTTTATATAATTAAAAATGATTTTGAATTATTAAATTTAAGTTTAAAGAGAAAATATGAAAAAAAAAAAGTTTTTAGAGACGGACAAAAATCTTAGAGAGATAAATTTCAGAGGGTGGAAGACAAAAATACCCAAAAATATTGAATCCTTGCCCGATACTCTATTTCAAAATAGAAGTGATTTTGACATGAATAAAAGTGGTAATAGTCCTGTCAAAATCACTCATAAATATACTCTTAAACAAATATAACGAGTATAATGATATTGATATTTTGATAGTTATTTAATCATATTAGAAAAAAATAATAATATTATTCATAAAGACCTTATATTTAAAATTTTATAACTTTTAGGGTTTTTTTTTTAAATTAATAAAAAAAAGTCTAAATTTGACAATTTTGAATTGTCTTTGGGTGATAGCTCTTGTTCTTTGAACCGACCGAGCAAAACGTGAAAAATGGCAACCAAATATTCAAAAAGAAATTGACACCCCCTTTGCCAACTATACCATTGCTAAAATAGTAAGGGTAATTATGTAATTTGGCGCGTAATATTTGTGCTATTTTAAATTTTATCGTCAATTTTAGAAAAATGATACGTAAATTTTAAAAAGTATTTGTATTTACGTCGGTGCCAATTTAGTATAACAATATGTTAATTGGTCCATTTTTTAGAATAAGAAATCATTTTGGACCAAGTAGATTACTGTGTTAAGTCATATGTAAGGAAGAGATTATTTGATTTTATGAAATAAAAATATATAACCTTTATTTATTTATTCTTTTCTTAAAACCAACCTTAAAATTTAAAGATTTTCATATTTATGTATTTGACTTCTTCTTTTCTTTCATTATAAATATTTAGTTTGAATATTCAAAACCAATGACATATAAAATAGGCAACCTTTTTTGAGGTTTAGATTGGAAAGTTGTTTGATTTTAATTAAATGGTGTCATGTTTTTTGAGTCTAAGATTTGAAAGTTTGAATTGACTGACTCTTGTTTTTGTTTGTTGTTTTTTTCTTTTAATTTTTCTTTTTTGAAAAAGAAAAACAAGCTTTAAATGAACTGTGTAAAAGCAAAACAAGAGGTTTGACTAGAGAATTGGATGGGTTTGCACTTTGCAACTACCAAATATAAGAGTTTGACCACAAAATTCCTATTTTTGGTTTTTAGAATTTCATATTTTTTATTTTCCACACTCCTTTGACAATTTTGATTATTGTTATATTTAGATTTAAATACTATTTTGGTATGTAATTCACATATATCTCCAATGAGTTGGATCCCCGCCCCACTTGTACTAAACAAAATATTACTATTTTGGTCATGCATCTTGAATTTGGTTTTTTTTTTTTACATTTCTATAATGTCTATTTTGATTCTTTTATTTTAGATTTGGATCAGTTTAGTTACTGTAGTTTTAAAATGTCTGCTTTGGTTGCTGTATTTTTGAGAAGTTACCATTTTGATAATTCATTTTCATTTTTATCTCGTTTTTTCGATCATAATTTTAACATGATACTTCTTTCTCTAAAGTTTCTTGAAGTGTAGCAATAAATTTGTATTAAATGACTTCCATTATGAAAGTACAATTAGTAAAATAAACATAGAGGATAAGAACCAAAATGAACCTTTTAAAAATACATACATAGATTAAAATGAATTAAAGTAAAAAATATAGAGACCAAAATAATATTTAAAGATTCTGTTTATTATATCTTTTTTAAGTAAATTAGGAGTGGGTCAATAGGTCGTTTGAAATTAGTTTATCAACATCCTTTCACGCAACTATCTATTTATTATCGTTTAYTTGAGCATAACTCTATAGGTGAAGTATTGAGTAACTTCTTTCTCGATCGTACATTCAAATTTTCACTAGAATTTGAATTATAAAATATCTTTTATTAAATTACTTGTTGGATTTTTAACTTTCTAAAATTGTGTTTATTTAATCCCTATACTTTAAAATTTTCTAATAGATCCATAATTATTTGGCTCATGTACTTAAAATGTTACTAATCTCTAATAGGTTCTTAAACCTTCCATTTTGTGTCTAATAATTATCGATTATTAACTTTATAACATTTATAAGRCATGGTAACTATATCATAGGACTTACGTGGCTTGGTGGTGCAAACTTAAATAAACGGATTTCACGATAAATGCCCGTTTGACACAAAATTAAAAAATAAAAAAACCCCTTAGAAAGTTTTAGACTGCAATAACCAAACAGATACATCCTTAAACGTTCGAAGACCTATTAAGAACTCCGATACGGAAACTAAAACGAAACAAATCTAGGAAGTTCAAGGAACAAACGTGTAGTTTAACCTGTATAAAAAAAAATTATCAATTCATGTTCCATAAATTTGACAATCAAACATCAATTCTCATCAACATTTTTCCAAATTGCCCAATTCACAGCATCTGCAGAAAGTTTATGGAAAAACACCAAATAGATCACCAAAAACACTTGATCTGTGTTCAGAGAGTTGTGTTTGTATTAATTTACAAACAATATTTGATCCCAAAGATTCATCAAAATATTTATGTCCTAAACAACACATTTTGCAATATAAGTCATTCATAAGGAGTAGTTTGCACCTCAATCCAAAAATTTACTGACTCTCAAGTTAGGAGTTGGGGTTTTACTATACAATGTTGATCTGCTTGGAATCTTTTCTTCCTGTACAATGTAAATCTAATCTGAAATGATGTCAGTTACAGACATGAAAATTTTAATATTGAAAATTCTAATGATTTGGCATACCCCTACAATTCTCTTGCTTTTTGCCTCAGTTCATTGAGTTCTGTCTCGATCTCGGCGTCACGAATCGGAAATGCGCTGCCAGAAACAGTTCTTCCTGGTGGAAGTTCTCCTTTCTGTGGAGAGAGAGAAATTCCGATCATTATGTTCAAATATGAAAGGAGATCAACAAAGCTGATAGTGATTGTTTTTTTCCTCCCCAAGTACTTGGAGATGTGTTGAAAACTGAAAATTAACAGGTGATCCTAAAATATTCCTCAAAAGATCGATACCTGCCCCTGCTATCTGCCACCCAAAATTCATGACAGGAAAGAACTAAAAGTCACTGTAATCAACCTTGCACAGAGGATGACTCATCCAAAGCTGCTTAAAAGAGCTAAAAGTGTATGATGGTGTAGGATTGAGAAGCTATAGACTTCACGCGCTGATAGTAAATAGAGAGGTATAAATCTCAGGGAGATTCGAGCGCTAAAGTCGGAAAATTGGGTGGCTAGTTCTCGCATTGCATCGGGTAGTGGTAGATACTCAATTAGAACTTGGTTATCCAAACTATTTCATACCTTCTTCCATAGTTTGATCAATCTTATGACAACCCAAAGAGTGAGGGAGGAAACAACCCAAAGAGTGAGGGAGGAAACAACCCAAAGAGTGAGGGAGGAAACAACAAAGCAAAACTTAAACAGAACTAGGTTTTCCAAACTGGTATCTTTTCTATGCTTTAGGAGTAGTG